TGGCCCTGGTAGCGGCCAGCCTGGCCTCTTTGGGGCCTGGAATCTTCAGGAGATGTTGCGTCCCCGACTGTAGTGCTCGCAGGGGAACATGAGGGGAAAGGCGGTCCCTCAGGTATGTTGGACCCCGGCCATTTAGGGCTTTAAAGGTAAGAACCAGCACTTTGAAGCGAATCCTACTACAAATTAACATAACAGCTACATTTTCTAAGCTGCCTATAGTCAAAACAAGCACACAGATAAAGGAGAATCTCTCCTTCTTCTTGACCCCTAGAAAGGAAGTCACGTGAAACAAATGACCAATCTATATCACAGTAGAAGCTACTTTTCCCGGGCTAATTCCCCATTGGCTTAGTGCCAGGTATCCCTTCCAGGTCAGTCTAAACATTAGCAAACTAGGAATACAAGTTAACCCTATAATGACTGAATCATCAGACCTTGTAAACACATACATTTCCAACAGGGAGACCCATCAACAGCCTGGCCGCAGCATTCTGCACCAGCTGCAGCTTCCGGATTTGTGACAGAGGCAGCCCCATGTAGAGAGCATTACAGTAGTCAATCCTCGAGGTGACCGTCGTGTGGATCACTGTGGCCAAGTCGTCACGGTCGAGGAAGGGAACCAACTGCCGAGCTAGCTGAAGATGGTAGAAAGCCGACTTAGCAGTGGCTGACACCTGGGCCTCCATAGTTAACGAGGAGTCCAGGAGCACTGCCAAACTCCTAATCTCCGACGCTGGCACCAAAGGCACCCCATCGAAGGTCGGGAGAGGGAGCCCCAACCCCAAATCGCCCCGACTCAGGCCCAGGACCTCAGTCTTCGCCGAGTTTAGCTTCAGCCGACTCAGTCGAAGCCAACCAGCCACAGCCTGCAATGCCCGGTGCAGATCTTCTGGACTAGAGCCCGACCGGTCACCCAACATCAGGTAGAGCTGGGTGTCATCTGCATATTGATGGCACCCAAGCCCATACCTCCGGGCTATCTGGGCAAGGGGGCACATGTAGATGTTAAATAACATCGGGGAAAGCACTGCCCCTTGAGGCACCCCACATTCAAGAGGGTGTCTCCAGGACTGCTGTTCCCCTATCACCACCCTTTGTCCCCGACCTTGGAGAAAAGAGGCAAGCCATTGATGGGCGAGCCCCTGAATCCCCGTGTCGGCGAGGCGGTGGGTCAGCAACTGGTGGTCGACCATATCGAATGCGGCCAACAGATCTAACAACACCAGTGCCGCCACACCACCTCGATCCAGATGCCTACGGATTTTAAGGAGGGCAGGAAATGATCTGAATGTTCTGTGTCCTCAAACTGAGGATAGAAATTAAGTATGCAGAGACAAATCAGCCAGATCACTGCAGAAAACACGAGCAAAACACAAATCACAAAAAGAAGGGCAGCTGTTTCTAGGCTGATACTTGAAGCCTCAAAAGCCAGGTGAGTTTGTGAACTTGGCACCAGAACTTATTCATTTATTTGGAAACTATATATGCCACCTTTCCAGAGAACCTGCTCAAAGCAACTTACAAAATAAAACATTATAAAATAATAAAACCACGAAGATCATTAGAATCATTAAAATAAAACAGCCATTAAAAACCCAGAACATAGATATTTGTCAGCAATTTTGAAGACATGGTAGAATGGTGACATTTAAGGTGACTGTTACCCCTGAGTTTAAGTTCTAGAGAAATGATATTTGTCAGATCTCAGAGGTCCTGCTTTGTATGCCCCCATCTTTAGAAGTAAGAAGGATGGCTACCAGAGACAGGAATTCCTCTGTAGTGAAGTCTTATTTATGGAATTCCCTCTCTGCACTTGACAACTTCTTTTTGAAATTTCAGATACCAGGTAAACACATTATCTGTTTCCATGGACTTTTGATGTTGAATTATTACATTTGTTGGTTCCTGTGATCTCCATCTATGCTGCTGCTTCTATTGCTATTTGATTGATATATACTGTTAAAATGTTATTATTGTTCATTTTTATTATATCCTAAAACACACCTAAAACACACTGTAATTTACTGTAAGGACTCTTCTTATAAAGCTCACCTGTAGAGCATCTGCTTGGCATGCAGAAGGGCCCAGGTTCAATCCCTGGTATCACCAGTTAAAAGGCAGTAGATGATGTGAAAGAACTTTGCCAGAGATCTTGGAGAGCTAGTCGAACTACATTGTGATCATTATGGTTATGCAGTCAGATATTGCTGACCCTAGAAGTCATCTGACTTACTTGGCATCGGATTGGGTAGGCTATATCTGAGGCAGTAAAAGTCTTCCTGGAACGACTCCTGGTTCTCTTAATGGCATGAATTAATTGCTGGGAATATAACAGAGTCCCCCCGCCCAGTTTTTTTTAAACTGTTTCTTTCCATTGCCCAGGAAACTGCATTTCTTCCAGCCAATCTTAGCTCAGAGACAGGGACCAATCAAGCTAGTTGCCTTGGCCAATCAATCACACAATCTGTCTTGGAGGGAGAGAAATTTTAAACTGCAGCCATATGATGCGTTGGCCATTTGGGGTCAAGTGTGTGCCCTGTGTGTGCACGCATGCGTGTGTGCTGTGCTTACTGCTCCTTGCATCTTGGGAGAGGTTCCTTGCTTGGATTATACTAGATCGTGGTTGGCCACATCCTGTCTGGACTGTTTTCTGAACAGAAGTGTCTGATTAATTTACTATTACCACTAGCTAGCTTTTCCTCCATCCTTTCCCCTGGCAGAGGGTTAAAAGGGGAGGGGGTGTTTGGTCTCTGGGGGTGGAGGTTGTTGTTGTTGTTGCTGTTGTTTTGTGTTCTGTGGGTTTTAATATTTGTTTTGTTTTGATCTTCTTCCTTTCTTTTTTGTGTTTCTTAAGAGTTTGTTTCTTGTTTTTCTTGATTTATTGGCTTTTTTTGGTTGCCTTCAGTTAGTTGGTTTTCATGCTTTTTGCAGATTAATTCGTGATTTGAGGGCAGTGTTGCATTTTGCATGGTTTAGATTTGGACAGGTAGGGTCCCTTTCCACCACAATTGGCAGGGTAGGTGTGCATCCCATTAGGGAGACACTCTGGAAGGGCTACTTGCCATTACTAAGGTATTCCCATTGGGTAAAAAAAATCCTGCTCCAGGAAACCAGTGGCCATTTTTGCACCTTTTCCCACTTTGCAGACGCCTTATTCAAGGGGCTGTAAAACTGAACCCATTTGAAAGTTGGGTAGTCTTTAGAAGAGAGGTTCCCTGATGTTTTTATACCACTGGTGGAGAAAGGTCATCTCAGGAAAATCTACCAGTTTTCATAGATGGAAAACAATGGGCAAACATCTAGTCTTAATGAAAATGGAAATGAAACCTGACGAGTCTTCACAACACAACAACATTTCCAAGAATCATTACAACCGATATGCCTTTCCCTTCTTAAATTATGATATGGAATTAAAATGATATTTTTTCAAGGGGACATCCCTACTAATCATGATGGACCAATGGGCTGTATCAGGATAAAGCAGCTTCATGTGTGATCATTGCTCTCCTATCAAAGATCTGATGGCGATCTTGGGATGGAAATTATGGGCACACCCCATCCCAAACCAAATACTGTGATAATTGGTAATACCATTTATCCTTTCATTGACTAGATAAATGTAAATTCATATTAGGATAAAGACTATGGCAGCATTCACTGTGGGGTTAGAATCATAGAGCTGGAAGGGACCTCCAAGGTCATCTAGTCCAACCCCCTTCACAATGCAGGAAATTCACAAATACCTCCCCCCACACCCTCAGTGACTGCTGTTCCACTCCCAGAAGACAACAAAAACCCTCCAGGATCACTGGCCCAACTGGTCTGGAGAAAAATTGCTTCCTGACCTGTAGCTACAGTGGGGCATCTCGGGGCCTGCCCACTCCCCCGACTTCCCATCCAGCCCCCAGGCCCCCCCCTCGATTTCCAATTTTTTATTTTATTTGTGGTGCTCCCTGAGGTGTGTGTGGGGTGTCTGTGTGGGGTGCCTCCCCAACTTATTTAAAGCCCTCCCCCAAATTAAAGAATCCTGGCTACGGGCCTGGAGCCATATAAAATAAATACTGTATGTTGAGCGATATTTTCCCTTCTCATAATGCTAGAATCTGGAGGAAAAAAATGTCTCCAGTTGATGATAAAGAGGGATTAACTAGAAAGATCTTCTTAGGCACAGTATTCAATAGTTGGTGTTCACTGTCGAGAGTAGGGTTGCCAACCTCCGGGTGGTGCCTGGGGATCTCCCGCTATTATACCTGCTCTCCAGGTGACAGAGATCTGTTCATCTGGAGAAAATGGCTGCTTTCAAAGTTGGACTCTATGGCATTATGCCCTGAACCCCACCCTCCTCAGACTCCACCCCCAAAATCTCCAGGTATTTCCCAACCCAGAGCTCACAACCCTAGTCAAGAGAGTCCTGTTCTGTGTGCCCTTATAAACCATAGAATAGAAAAAGAAGAAACATGGAGAATAGCCTCTCTTAACAATCTTAACATATGTGGTTGTGGTGGTTGTTCAGTCGCACAGTCGAGTCTGACTCTTCGAGACCCCATGGACCAGATCATGCCAGGCCTTCCTGTCTTCCGCCGTCCTCTGCTCAATTTCATATTTGTTGCATCTATGACACTGTCTAACCATATGTGGAGGTATATAAAGTGTGTGTGTGTGGCGTTCATTGATTATGTGCTCCTTCCCCAGTGCAGCAAGAGATGTGCATGAACAAACTATTGTAACATTTCAATATTGTTTCTGCTTCTTAAAAAAGGCAACACAACCCCCATTCAAATCTTCTTAAAAGTCTATTTTTAAAAAAAACCCACCCAGACAGCGCACTGTGTCCTCAGACTATTTTATCCTTGCTTCCAGTTTTGTACCATAAAATGGAAATAGAATTTTGAACCCAAAAGAAGAATATATATGATTTTTGTAACCTTCCTCTTAACCGAGTTCAAAGAATTGTTTTTTTTTACTTTGTCTGTCCCCTTAGACACAAATGCCTTCTGGATCCCAGACAGATGCATTTAAAGCGGAGTTTGGCACAAAGGAGGTGAATTAATGTAAGTACAAATGCTGCACTATTGATTCTTATGCTAAATGCATATCTATTCAACCAGCATAGTACATTAGGCCAAAAAGCTAATGCATAAGCCAGGATTGATTTAAAAAGCTGGACAGAGAGAACAGCAGACCCATTCTGTGAAGGGCATATCCAGGGGACTTCAGTTTAGGGGACTGGACATCTTGTTTCAGCATCAGCCCTTAGCCACTGCATTCTGGCTCACATAACTGACAGGAGTTCATGCAGCCTCAGTGTAGCCACGCTGCTGGTACCATTTGGTCCCACATAGAACTGGTCCGGGGCCGGGACACTTCCGCCCCTTTTCTGGGAGGAACTGCTGCTGTCTTTTCCTAAGAGACCGATGAGCCACAATTATACAACCTTGGCCCGAATTCCATCCTCTTGGCTGAATGACAGAATTGGAAGGTACACAGCCAGGGGAAAAAAAGTCAAGGAAAACTATTTTTGCAGTTAAGGCAGATACATGAAGAAGCACAATCCATGCATATATGCTACGGCATCCTATGGGGTGGCTGCATTTATTTATTTAATTAAATTTATATCCCTTTTCCCCTGAGCCACCCTTTAGCAGGCATGTAGGCGATGGGAGTGTTTGGGTATGATGTCTCCATTTGGAGATCCAGCACCATAAGAAGCCATTCTGACCAGCACCATTATACAAGGTTGTAGGGCCTATTGTATTGTTTGTGCTAGCAGACAAGGCTTCCAGTAAAAAAGGATCTGAGCACAAAAGCTCCAGGTTGGCCCCTCCCAAGCTTGATACCTGAGACTGCCCCTGTCTCAAGAAGATTCTGCATGAACCTTCCCTGGGCCAGCACCAGTGTTTGCCCAGTCCTAGCACTGATCTAAATAACAATGTGCCAAATTCTCATTAGATCTCAGAAGCTAAGCAGGTTCATCCAAGGTTACTATTTGGATGGGAGACCACCAAAGAAACCGGGGTTGCTACGCAGACACAGTCAACAGCAAATCACCTCTGACTGTCTCTTGCCTTGTGGGGTTGCCATAAATCAAGAGCAACTTGATGGCCCTTTCCACCACCAAGATCCAGGGCTCTTTTTGTAGAAAAAGCCCAGCAGGAACTCATAAGCATAATAGGCCACACCCAACAGCAGAAACCTATTAGCATATTAGGCCATACCCCTGACGGCACAGCTCATTAGCACATTAGGCCACACTCCCATGTTACCAGAAGTGTGGTTCTCCAGCCACACCCACCTTTTGCTTGTTATTCTGTTTACCTTGTTTGCTGTCAAAACCCAGGGCTTTTTTGTAGCAGGAACTCTTTTGCATGTTAGGCCACACACCCCTAATGTAGCCAATCCTCATGAGTTCCTGCTGTTGGGTGTGGCCTATTATGCTAATGAGTTCCTGCTGGGTGTGGCCAACTTGGGAGCCAGCCGGAACTCCGTTCCTGTGCGTTCCTGCCCCAAAATAGCCCTGCCAAGATCTATGCCTTGAGCTGGCTGGCCCAGGCTAGCCTTGTCTCATCAGATCTCAGAAGCTAAGCAGTGTTGGCCCTGGTTACGAGGACTTGGCTGGGAAGCCACCAAGGAAGTCCAAGGTTGCTAGGCAGAAGCAGGCAATGGCAAGCCACCTCTGAACATCTCTTGCCTTGAAAGTCCAATAGGATTGCAATAAATCAGCTGCGACTTGATGGTACTTTACACATGCACAGTGCAGGGAGCCACTGTAAAGGCCCGTGCAGTTAGTAAATTAGTTAGGTTTATGAGTTACAGACTCAATATATAGATTACAAGGCATTCAACAGTACTAGACAAAACTGTATGTTGCACAGACTGGGCATCAGAGCTCAAGTTTCTACTAAGGTGCCAGGGCTCAGGAGAGTCCCTTAAAGCAATGCGTTCATATCAGGAAACTTTGCCTCCTAATCCCAGCCTTCACAGGGCTTTCTGTGGATACGTAAAAGAAGGATCTCTGTACATTTTAGGACTCAGTCCTGTGGTTCATAACGGACTGAAATTCTGGGAATTCCAGTTAAGTAGGGAAAAGACAGCGTTAAAAGACTATTACTTTTTATTTAAAGGATGCAGGAGGAATTAAATGTGATGAAGAAAGAGGATGCTCATTTCAATACAGACAGTATACAAACTTTTCCTTTTTCCCACTGCTTGGATCCTGTTGCCAAGTCAGATACAGCTTCACCCCTTGATGAAGAATTCAGACTCAGGACTCAGCTTGCACAGTTTGGATATGGCCCTACACCAGATGTACAGAGCTTGCACGGGTCATTAGAAGGAGGATCCCGTAAACGCAAAAGTGTGCCTACAAAAATGCTTTCTGCCATCCCATCAGGAGATGCTTCGTCTCCAGTGTTCAGTTCTGAAGAAAACACCACTGGAGGTCCTCCCAGCCTTCCTTTACTATTCCAACACCACACACAGCCAAAGTACAACTCCCACATGATTGACCTGTGTAACATTGGATTTCAGTTCTACAGGACTCTGGAACACTTTAGAGTGAAACCTGTAAAGGAGGAACCAATAAAGCCCAATGTGATATGGCCCAGAACCACTGCCTTTCTGCAGACTCCCTATCCATACTATCCCAAAGTTCATCCTGGTCTGATGTATCCTTTTATGATGCCTCCAGATTTTCACTTCAGAAGTCCCTTCCCCCTGAAAAGGCCCCCAGAGCCCCCCTTCAGGAGCCCTGAGTCAGGAGAACAAGATGAAAATAAACAGAAGGTGGAAAGAGAGGATGTTAACATTCAGATAGATGACAGCTATTATGTTGATGTAGGAGGGGAACAAAAACGCTGGCAGTGTCCTATGTGTGAAAAGTCCTACACCTCCAAGTACAACCTGGTCACTCACATCTTAGGGCACAGTGGCATCAAGCCTCATGCTTGCTCTCGGTGCGGGAAGCTTTTCAAACAGCTGAGTCACTTGCACACCCATATGCTAACCCACCAAGGCACCAGGCCTCATAAATGCCAGGTGTGTCTCAAGGCCTTCACCCAAACCAGCCACCTGAAGAGACACATGATGCAACACAGTGATGTGAAGCCCTACAGCTGCAGGATTTGCGGGAGAGGCTTTGCCTACCCCAGCGAACTGAAAGCCCATGAATCCAAGCACGAGAATGGCCGGGAGAACATTTGCATCGAGTGTGGTCTTGATTTTCCAACCTTGGCTCAGTTGAAGAGACACTTAACGACCCATCGAGGCCCTGTGCAGTACAGCTGCACAGAATGTGATAAAACGTTCCAGTACCCAAGCCAACTGCAGAATCACATGATGAAGCACAAGGACATCCGCCCCTACATCTGTACTGAATGCGGCATGGAGTTTGTGCAGCCTCATCACCTCAAACAGCATTCTTTGACTCATAAGGTAAGTCTGCCTGGATTCCCAAAGGATAGGCTGACAGAATACTGGTTTCTTCTAAAATGCAATGAATGTTTACTAAGTTGTATCCTATTGCTTTTGTGGAGACAACTGTAGTGTCTCTTCCCTCCATTGTAGGTCATATCAACGTACCAAGTTGGACTGTTGTCTATCTAGACCAGGGGTGGCCAAACGTGCTTAACGTAAGAGCCACATACAATAAACGTCAGATGTTTGAGAGCCATAAGACATGAACACGCACGTTTTAAATGAAAAACATGCAAATTTGCATATTAAATTAAAGAGACAAATGCCTTCTCCGAGCCAAGCCAGTCTTATGATGTGGTGGGGCTTGGAGAACACATTTAACTTTAGATGGGGAGGGTGGGAAGAACAATAGAAAGAAAGGTGGAAAGAAAGCAAATAGATGGGGGAGGGGGAGAGGTGGAAAGAAAACTTTAAATGTGTCCTCCAAGCCTCCCATGCCCCAAAGCCGGCTGGCTTGGCTTGGAGAAGGGATTTAAAGAGACAAGTGCCTTCTCCAAGCTGGTTGGTGTGTGTGTGTGTGTGAGCTTTGAGAACCTGTTTAAAGTTAAAGATGCTTTCTTTTTCTGCTTCCCCCCACCTCAAGCCTGCCCAGGGAGGGGAACACTGGCTGCGGAAGGGAAGACCAATCAAGGAGGCTTGTCTCCCCTTTGCTTCCCCAGCCACCTTGCAGGGAGCCGCACAATATGTGTGAAAGAGCCGCACGTGGCTTCCGAGCCACAGTTTGGCCACCCCTGATCTAGACTTCTAATTTGACTGGCAGCAGTGCTCCAAGCTGTCAGGTAGAGAAAGGTCTTTCCTGATAGTGTGACCTGAAAGCTTTTAACTAGAGATAGCAGGGCTTTGGTCAGGCACCTTTTGCATGCAAAGCCTGTGCTTCACTACTGATCTACAACCCCTATCCAAATAATATGCCTAGATTTCTTCGTACTAAGAGATTAAATTATCTAAGTGCTGATATCAGAACATGTGTACAGAATAATAATCTATAACCCCTATCCAAATAATATGCCTAGATTTCTTCGTACTAAGAGGTGAAATGTTGTTATTAGAACATGTGTACAGAATAATAATTTGTCATTTGTCACTATTTCCCCCCTAAGCTTAAATGGTGATGATGGTGGTAGTTGTATGTATTCTGGGCATGCCTAGAGGTTGGTTCCACTGCTTAAGTATCATTTCCATTGTACAAAAATATGAGACACTATCTGTAATCTGAGAAACACAAACCACTACAAATGGATTGATATGAACACAAAGACATAAGGCTGCATTTGTCTGTATGATTGTTATGATCTATAGACATCTAAATTAACCTTGTATTTTTAGTCCCAGGTTTTTTTTCTATACCAGGAACCTTTACAGTGGTACTTTTCCAGACCTAATATTGCTCTCTCAGACATGTCTAGAATCATAGAATCATAGAGTTGGAATGGACCATCAGGGTCATCTAGTCCAACCACCTGCACAATGCAGAAAATTCACAAATACCTCCCCCCCACACCCCCAGTGACCCCTGCTCCATGCCCAGGAGATGGCAAAAATCCTCCAGGATCCCTGGCCAAACTAGCCTGGAGAAAAGATTGCTGCATGACCTATTATTCTGTAGCCTCTAATGGAACTAGGGTAGATTTATTTATTCATTGAGATCCCTTTTTTTAAAAAATCCCAGAATCAAATTCTCCAGGCTTTTCTTTATAAATGAACAGAACTCTTTGTACCTTCATCTTCTAGCCATAGGCACAAGGTTATATTGGCTAACATTTTTATAGCTACGACAGGTATCAAAGATAAAGGTGTGTGATCATTCCTTTCTGAATGCCTACTACTTGCACTACTGATATTAGAAATAAATTGCCAAGATTACCATAGTCCTCAGTTTCCTTTTCTGTCCTTCAAGGGTGTGAAAGAGCACAAGTGTGGGATTTGCGGACGGGAGTTCACACTACTTGCCAATATGAAGAGACATGTTTTAATTCATACCAATATCAGGGCCTACCAATGCCACCTGTGCTTCAAGAGCTTTGTGCAGAAGCAGACCCTCAAGGCCCACATGATTGTCCACTCGGATGTCAAGCCTTTCAAATGTAAGGTGAGTGCTTCATATGCAAACTGCCAAGTGAAACAAAATGGCACCCAAGTAATCATAAGGAAGTGTACAATAAAAAAAGGAACACAGTGTTCCTCATATGTTGCTAGATACTGTCAGAATATGATACTATATAAATAACAAATGTAAAGTAATGGACTGTCTGTAGCTAAATCATTGGTGCATAAGGCAGGCCCAAGTCATTTTGATGTCTGAAGTGGAAATGTAATATAAAAATTACATGGCTGAACATTTGCCATCTTTTAAATGACTGAAATGTAAAAGAGTAGATCTAACCAAGGAAGAACTAATCACAGCAGCTACTAGGGAAGGTAAGTTTAATTATAGACCTTCAGAACTGGGGCATCCTTGAAAGAATTCATACCTGTTGCTGAAACTCTTTGAAATCTTTCTCATTCTAGTTGTGAAAACATGAATTTTGTTAATGCAGAACTGAAAACAGAAAAGAACCAATTAAAAAAACTCTCAGGGCAAAGCCACTAGAGCAGTGGGTGGTAGGCTTGCCAAGCCCCCCGGGGGGCGGGGGAACGCCCGCCCCAGAGGCCCATTCCACCCTGCCGGCAGATCGGGCCCCGGGGGGGAACCCCACCCCCAAAGCATGGGACATGCCCGGCGTCAGCACGTCACCCGGAAGCAGGGGTCGTTTCATAGAAAAAGTGCTAGGGGAACTCATTAGCATAACTCATTAGCATATGCCACACCCCCTGACATCACCGGAAGTGTGTCATAAGGCCCACGAAGGCCCTCACTGGCCCCAGGCAGGCAGGGGTGGGGAGAGGCAGGGAGGAAGCAACTTACCCTCCCTCTTCTCCTGCCTCATCCTGGCTGAATGAGGGCCGGAAGCGGGGCGGCTGGAAGCAGGGGGCGGGGCTTCGTCATGTGCCCCGCCCCCTGTACCTCACCCGGGGAAACTGAGATCCCCAGCGATCCTTCCCCAAATAACCTCTGCCCGGAAGTGATGCAGCCACGCCGGGCACGCCAGGGGCAGGGCCGCGGTCATCTGAGGGGGAAATCTATGTTTTTCCCTCGGATGACCGCAGCCCCGCCCCCGGCGCGCCCGACATGGCCGCGTCACTTCCAGGTGACATGTTCGCAGAGCAAGCCGGGAGTCCCCCGCTGCGGCTTAAGGTAGGACTTGGCAACCCTAGTGGGTGGCCATACTTATCTCTGGACTTGAAAGTCTTGAGCAGTAGCCTGGAATCTGAACCACCATAAGGCAAAACCACTGCCGTCTTTTCCAGGTGAAGACAGGAGGTTAGGTTGCTCTTATTGACACTAGATATGATCAATCCTGGGGCTTTTTAACAGGGGACGCATTATGTTTCTATACCTGAAAAGGGCTCACCAGGCTAGATCGCACCCACTAAGGGCCTAAAGCAGGGCTGAGCCATTTTTTGTTTTGGGCTGGGGGCAGGCCTGTAGCCAGGATTTTTTTTTAATTTGGGGGGCCTTAAAATAAATTGGGGGGCACCCCTGCACACACACCCTTCCCTGTAATTAAATTAAATTAAATTAAACTATTCTCCCTCCCCCCCTTGCTTTCCTGCTAGTAGGGGAGGGAGTTGGAAGAGTTTGCACTGTGGCGTGCCAGCCTGAAGCCCAGGTACTTCTCCCGGGGGAGGCAATGCCTCAGATTCTCCCCCCCTTCCCTCACCAACAGAAGGAGGAGGAAAAAGGAAGGAGGATGTACTTCTTCAGGGGGAGGAGGGAGAAGGCAGCACCCCAGGCTCCCTTTCCCCATCCCTCCACTGATGAAGGAAGGAAGGAAGGAAGGAAGGAAGGAAGGAAGGAAGGAAGGGACTAGTGTCATGGCGTGCCAGCCCAAAGGCCATGTACTTCTCCAGGGGGAGGAGGGAGAAGGAAGTGCACCAGGCTCCCTCCCCCCTTCCCCTGCTGATGAAGGAAATAAGGAAAGGTCCAGTACCATGGCGCGCGGGCCTAAAGGCCAGGTACTTCTTTTGGCTCTAACCTCCCATTGCCCAGCTCTTGCTGCCTCCGCAGCCCGTACCGCCCCCCACCCCACTTCCTTTCTACTCCCAGAGTAGTACTCTGAGAGGAAGTTCCCCCCAGCCCCGCCTCATCAGCCGGCTTCCTGCACTGACAGCACCAGCAAGTCAGGGGAGCTTGGGAGGAAGTCAGGGGGCTGGGCCCTGGGAGGCCGCACTGTAACTACGGGCCTGCCTGAGAGCCACATTTGGGCCTCTGATCATTTTCAAGGGCACTGAGTTGGATATTGATTTAGATACTGACTATTTGTGTTTTCAGTGTCCAATTTGGTGCCCTCAAAAGTGAGTAAAGACCAAGATATGGCCCTCTTTCTCACTCTGCAGCTTTCAGCTGCTATTAATGGCCTTGGTCATCAAGATGTTCAACATTGTTTCAGGAGCATAGGCCTGCTAGCCAGTGCTACAGTACAACACGCTGATGCTCATGACAAATTATTAAGCAGCACAAGGGCAGAATGAAAAGTTCATGTGGAGTGCATGAGGTCCCCAAACTGCCATTGGCCCATCTCTGTATTTGTGACATTTACATGAAATTCCAAATACTGGAAATGAAAAAAATAGCCAATCTAAACACTTGTAGAAATGGGAGAGGGGTAATGCCTGAATACTGCTGATAAAATGACCAATAGAATATATTGATGATAATATAGTTCTTCAGTATTTGAAAACAATATGCTGGGCCCTTTGAAACGCTGGCCACAGCCTTATGTTGTTCTTGTCTTTTTATCCTGAATGAGGAAGTCATACAAGTTAAAGTGATAGACTTATTCATCTCTTTGTTTCTTTTTGGTTTTAGTCCTCTTTTTAAGATTGCACTTCCTCTTACACAGCACTTAGAGTAATTGCTAGTCTGCTGATGATAAATATATGTGGCATTTGCATAGCACATTTCATCCCCAAGGGAGGTCAAGGATGCTTAACAACTTGATACCAGCTAAATGACTGAATCAATCCATATATGCTTCAGTTTTTTCCCATCAGTGCACAATATAAATTATATCTACGTATTATGGCAGTAATTGTTTTTAGCTAGTACTGTATTAGACTTCACTGTTCCAGGGATATATTTGTGTCTTTTGAGGGAAAGTGCATTTAAGTACTATGCTTCCATATAATGTCAGAGATCTGGTGATGGTGGCAGTTGTGTTAGCTTTTGCTGAAATAGATTCACCCAAGGTATTTTCTGGGCAAAGCCCATGCACCTGCACACTGCCTAGCCTGAATTGTTTCGGTGTGAGAACTATAGCTGGTGGATAGTCTTGGCTCTATTCTGTTGGTTCTGTTCATCATGATTCTACCATGGATGACTTGCAGGTCGCTTGCAGGATGAATCTGGCCCACTAAACATTTCTCTCCCCCCTCCCAGTAATTCTACCAAAATTTAATCAAGATGTAGTTAAAATCCCACACACACACAGTTGGCTTCAAAAGTTGTGACAATTCACTGATTCACTACTTTTAAAATGTCCTACAAGATACAATTAAGGATGGGCACGAACCCCCCAAGACGAACCCCAGTTCGAGCACGAACCATACCAGTTCATGGTTCATGAACCAAAGGTTCAGGAGAATGTGTCTCCCATGATCTGCCCACGAACTTCCATGTTTTTCATGGAGGTTCTTGAGGTTTGTGGGAGACATGTTCTTTGGCTCCGAAGGCATTTAAATGCCATCAGAGCCCACCACTGGCCCATGGCTCCACCCAATTGAGCTCTGAAGGCATTTAAATTCCTTTGGAGCCCATCCCCAGGCTGGGCCAGCTCAACTGTGCTCCGAGAGTGAGCTCCAAAGGCCTTTATAAGCCTTTGGAGCTCACTCTGGGAGTTCAGTAGAGTTTGACTCTGAAGGCTTGACTGAGCTCCCAGAGTGGGCTCTGAAGGCTTTTATAGACCTTATATGCCCTTATATGGGCAGGTCCACTTCCAGGAGGTTGGCAGCCCCAGGAGCAGTTGATATGCAAATTATTATTGTGACTACTGAGAATAAAGAAATTGGCTATCCCTGTATGGCTCTTTAGTCCCTTCCAGTTCCACAATTTTCTAGTTAAATGATTAATGCTACAAATAATGGATGCCCCATTTTGTTGGAATTTACTGAATTAGTTTGCATTTAGTAATCTTAATTGCTGTATAATTAGGGTAATTTGTATGTTGTGATTGTTGTTAATTTACATAAGCCTCAATGGCCATTCTGGGTAAAAGTAGCACAGGAATCTAATGGGGAAAAAAATCAAAATTGTTCCTGAAAAAAAGAAACCAACCATTTCTGCTATGCTCAGTAACTGGAATGTAAAGAGTGCATAACATCTCCATGATTAGGGCAGAAACTCCATTGTTGTTCCCTGCAGTGCATTCCCATTTGGTCTAAAGGGAATTAAGGGCACTTACTAGGTTGAGGGTGCCAAGAATCCAATTGACTGCCCTTTTTTGCCTAACTTCCAGAAATCCCTGAAGAGCTTGGTCTCAATCGAGTCCCCTTGGCTGGCATTCAGCAAGTTAAGGCAATGACCAGATAGCCTCCATTTGGCACCAAACTCCTCTGAGGCAGAAGGAAGGATATAGCTGTACGAACTGCTTGCTTCACAATGGCCTGCATGTCCCTAGGGAATGGCCTGCAAATAGATTTCATCTTGCTTTCTCTTGTACTTATTGGAGCTTCCTGTTTTCTCACGGCTCTTTTGGACAGTTTACAGTCTCTCTCCCTCTCCCTCTCTCTTACTTTCAGGAAAGGAACACCCTTCTTATTAAACTTTTTTTAAAAAAGAAGAATGCAAGGGAAGGACAGCACAGCAGTGGCCTTTCTGCCTCACGGCAGGCTACAGCTTTCTTTTGACTTTTTTCTCAGGTTGAAAGAACAACAGGGCTTTCCTACAGGGCTAATCACAGCTACACAGAGACCATCTGTGGCTAGAGAGCAGAAGAAAGCCTTTGTCCCTCACATTTCCTTACCAATTTGGTTTGTCTCTCTAAAGGGAGG